AGTACAGAAGTTTAAATATCTGAGAAGAGTTTTAACAGAAGCTGGAAAATATGATGCCAAAATCCAAATGCACATTGGAATCACAAAAAGTGCATTCCAAAAGCTAAGAAACAGGAAAATGTTATTAGAAGTAAAAATAAGTGTTGAACTGTTATGTGATATCAATACTCTTATATGGCAGTGAATACCGGAGACTTTCTTCACAGATGAAAAGTAATCTTGAGGCAGCAGAGATATGGTTCTACAGATAAGTGCAGATAATATTGAGATAAAGCATGTAAGCAATAAGTAAGCTTTAAGGAAAAAATGACTCCAAAAAGAATCAGAAAGAAACAATCCAACTAAGAAGTGATTCTTCAACTTCTCCAATTTCTGATGGTTTCTCATTTAATTGGATTTTAAGAATTGGTCAAGCTGACAACTTTACTGCAACCTTTAGTGTGTTGTTGCAAAATACGGCAAAGCTGTATGAGGTTGGGGGAAACACCTAACTGATTACTCTTCCAAGTACTATGGGAGTAACAGGCAGAGAAGAAAATAGATGGAAGGAAACAAAAACAACACTGTCTCAGAAAACACAGCACAGCAAGCAGCACGCAACCTGAAGAATAAAATGTCCAAGAGACTGACTTCAAAAGACACTGAGTCTTGTCAACTGCCCACTGCAGACGGCTGGTTTCCCATTGCTTTTATTGACTGGAGATAGTTGACAGAAACCTAGATCTGGACAAGTTGCAGAGAGGCCCATATCTAGATATGCCAAGCTCTTCTGCTAACAGGGAAAACCTGGATGTAACTGGTTTTGACAGACATTCTGCACATGATTTAGGGCCATTTTGCATGAATATTGATGCATGTTCACTGCACATGTTGAAATTTCTAGGACACATAAGGAGTAAACAATGACAGGAAATTGTGGAGAGCTATGACCACCCCTCCACATGCTGAAGGGACATGGCACATAGAAGAAGATTATTTTTTTCATGACTAGATATAGGGTGTGAGAGAAATGCCACCTATATAATGGTAAGACATTAGCTAGATGAAGACACCATTGCTGCTAATGTCTTACAATTATGTGGGAGGTATTTTTGGAAGGTATATACAGGAGGAATTTCTGCTGCACTCAGTACATTCGGAATTGGTAAAAATGTTGATCATGTTTTATTCTGACCTTGAAATTCTTCATGATGTTTATAGAATTTATAGAAAAAGTTGTTTGAAATTAATGTCCTCTATAGCCACGCCAAATCACTTTAGAGTTCTTATTCTAATTTCAGGACTAAATTATAATGACATATGCAATGAGACACAAGAATGTCTTCAGAATTTTACCTGTAGGGAAGGTGTTTGTCAATGTCAGCCTGAATTTTATTTTGATCAAACTAACTGCCTTCCTCGTAAGTAACCATTTTTATATTCTAATTGTTTTTTTGTTTAAAATGATACTTTGCTCTCACATGATAACAAGACAAATTGAATGGGAAGAAATGTGCATAAGAAGATTATGTTGTGGCAATCTTTGTGGTGGAGAGGGCTTGCCAGTTTTGAAAATCAGAATGCAAAATACTTGGTTTTCAGTTGGACTTGAATGTTTCACTCTAGTATGAGTGGGAATGTACAAAACCATAGTGACATCTTGTTATTAACAATGAATAATATCAAATCAAGTTTAACCAGTTCATTATACAAGGTCTGTCTGAAAATAGGACTAGGTATGCTGTGTGAACTATGGGTAAAAGAGTGATAAGCAGATTGTGTTATCATCTGACATGTTATCTTGGGAGTATATAACTAATATTAGCTTTCTGTAACCATTGCATTTTTTTCACATGCTTTTGTGGCAGGACAAATTGTGGCTGCTTCACTATTACAATGCACCTACTTGCAACATCTTGAGCATCTGGCAGTTCCTTGCCAAGATGAACATCAGCGTACTGGAACAACCCCCACTATTTATATGATCTTTCTCCATGTGACTTTTCTTTCCGTCAAACTCAAGAGAAGCAGCAAATGGGCCTGTTTTGAATGTATGGAGGCTATCAAGAGGTCTGTAACAATGGAGATGAGGAGAATCCAAGAAGAATCCTTCCAGCAGTCCATAGTAGTGTGACAAAGTGTATTAGACTTGAGGGGGATTACTTTGAAGGGAAAACCAGGTAGTTGTTTGGAATTGAAATAAATCGTTTGTGAAACCAGTCGAGTTACTTTTCTGACAGACCTCGTAAAAATAGTGTTCTGTATGCAGTGTTCAGTTGCTATAAATATATTATGGTACTATGTAACCCAATACTATTTGCCACATGGTCAGGTTATTGGTCACAAGCCAGTTCTTCTGCCAGGCTTTTCTTGTGAGGAAGGCATCAATGAAATTCGAAACCCAAAAATTAACAGGAAAGGCTGATTTTTTTTTTTTTTTTTTTGTGAGGAATGTATTTTAATGATTCTTCACACTGAAAAAACAAGTAATCCAGCATACTATTCTGGGCCAGTTAAAGGAGTAGTTCAAAGAAAAATGGCAAGGGAAGATTTTTTTTTTTTTTTTTTGCAGGGCAATATATCTGATCACAGGTTTGGCAAAATGGTGGATGTTAAAAAAAATTATGCTTTAGTGCACAGGCACCATAATCACCAGGTTTTGCCCCATTTATGGCTGTTTACAAATCTTAAAATGGTAATGGTAATATTAGCCGTTTCCTTATAAGGGAACATTCATTGACTGAGCACCCAGTGCTACTAAAGTTAAACTTTTCTTCAGTCCCTAGCCACTGGGCTAAAATCCAGCAATTTTGGTGAGAAGAGTTACTAGATAACCAGTAGGATTAAAAACAAGAATTGTCAAAGAATGGATGAATCCTGTCTTGAGATTAATGGCCATCTATCAAATAGAATATAGTAATGTGTATTTATACATATTAGAACACATGATAACATGAGTCTTGAGTCTCTAGCTTAAATTGTGGAGGGTAAGGGACATTTGTGAATAGATTTTCTTCATCAAGTATTATGTCTTTGACAACTTTTTGGGTTCATACAAACATTGGACTTTATTTTTTAATTGTGGCTCACAGACCATTGGAGTGTTCTCTTCTACAAGAAGTGAATGTTAGCACAAGGCTATTTTAGTAGTATCTCTCTCCTCATCTTGTTTGGCTGTAGAGATTGTCACTCCTGGCCTAAACTTTGTCTAAGTAACCACGTAAAAAAGTATATTGTCACCTGTCATCCTTGTATGTATCTCTTTGAATTTAATTCTGTATTTATTTTACTTTCTCCATGTCCCTCTCTCTTTTCCTTGTTACTAATGTTTCCTTCCTTTTTATTTTGTTTTTTTGAATTGAATTTATTTTACCTTCTTTTTCCCTCTTTGAAAACTTTGAATATTATGTCTTTGGTGACTTTTTGGGTTACTATAAGCATTGGACGTTATTTTAACTCGTGGCTCGCAGGTGTGGAGGGATTCTCTTCTAGAAGAAGTGAATGTTGGGCTTTATCTAAATTAAAACTTTATATTTACATTCCAGATTCCTTATCCACAGATCCTCTGACTCATATTCTTTTCCTCTATCTATAACAATCCATATGGGCAGGTGTAATAAATGCTCAAGCATCTCTCTTTACCCTCTCCTACTAATGTGTCATTTAGACTTCCAGGCCATGAGTGATCTATATATACATAGCTCACACCATAGCTCCCAGCTCAGCTTGGCTCTCCAGTTGTTTTTCAATGTCCGTAGCTGTTGTCTTTGTTTTTGTCTGTTTGCTAGGTGTTTTTTTTTTTTTTTAATAAGAGTAGATAGGCTTCTGCCAAGTATTATGTCTTTGACAACATTTTGGGTTCATACAAACATTGGACTTTAAGAGTAGATAGGCTTTCCTATCACCTGGTTAATACTCCTCCCCCTACTTTTGAACAGGAGTAGAGGCTCATCCCTTCAGTATCTGTCTATATTTCTAAGATGAAATGTTATGTACACTATTTACATTATTTGGACTATTGTCCTCATCTTTGTTGCCATATTTATCACAATGAAATTGAATCAAAATATGTTATTTATTTTAAATAAAGGACACATGGCACAGTGGATAATGGCGTTAGTTAGATCCAGTGACAGGATCCAAATAGTGTAAGTTCAATACTTGGTTAAGGCGGTGGAGAACTTGGAGAGGGGAATTAACAGATAACTGATAACTGACATCCATTAAACATGCCACATGGAACTAGAACAGTCTAACCCAACAAGTGAAATAAAGGGTTCAGTTCGATATTCCAACCACTTGAAGAAGGCTGGAGTGTACAATGGCTGAAACGTTGTGATAAATATGACAATAAAGATAAGGACAATAGTCCAAATAATGTAAATAGGCTCATCCCTTGTTTTCTGTTTAGGAAAGGGTTCTCAGATACTTTCCTTTTCTTTGGCCTTAGCATGAATCTCTTGTGATGTGTGTATCTTGTGGCAACATCTCTTCATACTGAGGGTTCTGGGTTGGCAGTTTTCTGGTTGCTGTTCCTGACTGGTGATTAGGAGCCTGAATTGTTGTATAGCATCTTGAGAGGCTGCTCTGATCAGCAGTTGCACAACATTGGGGTCCTTGCAGTGTCATGTTGTGCATGGATGGGTGCCCCTGCATGCACCTCTGGTGAACAACCCTGAGGCTACATTATGTTGGAGTCTGTGCCAGTTCCTTTCTGCTCATGCCACATTTGATAACTGACTGCTTCTATTAATTTAGGCCTTTTCCTTATCCACGTAACTCAACATGACCATCAGCAACTAAAAATATAAGCCTAAACCAGCTAAAAAAAAAGTCACCCAAATTCTTTAACATTTCCTTCTCCAACATTTGTGGTATTTGTACCAACTTCTGCAATGTGGAATCATTCCTCTTTGATAAGTCTCCTGATATACTAGTTCTCTGCGAGACTAACCATAACTTGTCAATCCCTCTGATTTCTTGATTCCTGGCTATCTTTTTCTCCTTAGAAAGGACTCTAAAATCCACATGTATGGCCTGGGAGTTTATGTCCGCAATCATCTCCCACTGGCTAGAGAACTCTTTTTGGAATCTTCAGACCATTCATATATGTGTTTCTGTCTATCTCTTTTCAATTCAGTAAGCTATCTCTTCTTTCTGTAGCGTTCACCTTCCTCTCAAAACTGTGTGTACTTGATAGCATTTCTGAAAGCATGAAATCTTAACATGGTCTTCAAAAATTTATCTACTGCCAAAATAATAGGATATCTGAAGAAAATAAAATACTTTCAAATCCTATAGAACATAAAGCTTGGATTTTGATCCATACAACTTTTTGTATTTTGAAATACTCCTGAACAATGTAGCTTGAGACATTTTGAAATATCTTGTACTATATAACTTGTGCTGTTTTAGAAACACTTTATAAAATCTCGCAACCACTTGAAATGTTTTGAAACATTCCTGAACAAAAATTCAGTTTCATCATTAAATAACCCACAGATGGTAGATATGTTAGTAAGACAAATAAAACATCAATCAATCAATCTACTTAACATATGCTAATAGGTACAATTCTATTTACCAATTCACTAGTCTCTGTTGATAAAACCATTGATATAATCTGTAATCATAAAAATCTACATATTCAGTTTAAAAAATAAAACATATTTGATAATGGCTGATAGAATAGCTGAAAGCAGTCGAATATATGGGACTTTTGGTCAGTTTTTATACACTTTATGTCCAGAAAAGAAAACACTTGTACAAATGCAAGAAAAATTGGATAAAAATCTTGTAGTATATGGGTTCATTTCAGAATGTTACCAGTGGGGATAGATGGTAGGATAGTTATTTTATCTGAAACTTTGGGAATAAAACAAACTGACTCAAGGGTTTAAAATAAATTACATATTTTGATTTATTTTTTTAGAGTGATGAGTGAGTCCTTTGTTATTTGGCATAGCAAAAAGTTTGTTAATCAGGTAGATTTTGGTAACAGTCTGGTGAAAAGTTCATTTGGTTAGTTGGAAGTCAGACTACAGTAGGAATAGTAGTAATCTCAGAAATTAGGTTGGTGTCAATCTACTATTGTTCTTTTGATTCTAGAAACAAGGTGGAGATGTCAATAGCTGATGGCCTCTTAACTGCTTTTTCACACGTCATACATTGCTGTGTTCTTTTGTTCCGGGTCTCTCCTGATATCCTCCTCTGGCCCCATCTGTCTCTTTGTTCAGGAGTGTCAGTTATTGTCTTGATGATTATCAGCTAACTGAAGAGGACATCATAAGAACCATGTCAAATGATCCTGACAAGGGAGGTCTCTGGTTATAACAAAATCCTGGGTTCTTGATAAATTCCTTTCTTTTTTTTAAGTGTCCACATTATTTAACTTTTGCAGTGTATAAGTGGTGACTTGTTTATTTGAAGCCATATTGTTTAGTGATCTTTTGCTAAGTGAAGTGGACCTCATAATAACCATGTCAAATGACACTTCAAAGAAGGTCCCTGAATGGAACAAGACCCTGAGTCTTTGATAAATGACTTGTTCTTTTGCTGGTTCTTAATTCTGTCAGTCACTACATCTTTAGCTTTTTTGCGGCAGATGCAATGTCAGTCATCATCATTTTCATAATTCTTGATCTTTTATTATTTTTTCTCCTTAATAGTATCTTTTTCTCAAATTTTCTAACACTAAGTAACCCCTTGCATCTTAGTGGCTTGCTTGGGGTGAAATGATTAAAAAAAGAAGAAAAAAATAACCTAATTGAAGCATTAGAACATAATTGGATGGCAAGATGAAAAATGTTAACTTGTCAAGAGATGTAGATGCTAAGTCACATGCTCACAGGATTGAGAGAAATAATCACTAGCATATATCTAATTATAAATGGCTACTTATAGTATATTACTGATACTGTTTATGTACCAATGGAAATTAGTATACTTATAATTATATCTATATAAGTTTCTCCAGTTCATTCTCGTATTATGTTTGACTTAATTATGAAAGCACTTTGCTTAGAGGTGATCAGCTAAAGACAAAGACCACATTTGCTTGTTTTATTTTACAGTTAAATTAGTGCCTCGAATTGAATAGTGGTAGTCAGTTATGTTTCTTATTGGGTAGATGTTAACAATTATTGATTATTTAGTGTGCTGGTTGATTTGTTAATTGGATGACATGTTAACTCTTATACGTTTATTTAATATTAAATTTTGTATGGGTCACCTGGTGAGATTTAGACTGGATGCTCACTTGTAATGGTCAGCATGACTAACTTTATTAACCATTACCCAACACCTCATATAGTTTGTTTAACAATATTTGCACAGATAAAATTGTGTACAAATAAATTTGTTTTCTTTTTAAAGATACTCTAAATCTTGTGAAAGAATTCTGAGACAAAAATTTGTAAGGCTAAATTAAGGAGGCTTAATATTTCTCTGTTTCTATTTTCAGAACATGCTCTGTTTGAATTCTGTAATGATACAAATGAATGTCTTGGTGATAATGTGGAATGCAATGAAAATAATTGTACTTGCAGTGATCGATATTATCCTGAAGGTGATATATGCAATGAAAGTAAGTGAATTGTTAAATTCATTTTTTGTTTTTTGTAGAGATTACATTTTTATTAAATTTTACAATGAACATTTGTTGAAGATGTTATTTATTATGGCTTTTAATTTAATACCATTTCCATTTTGCTGCTAATAATAAATAAACATGGTGGATACTCAAGTGGGCAAAAAAAAACTTTATTATACACAATCTGGCAGTCTTTCTGTACCCACAAAAAATGGTGTGTTAAAAAGATGGTTTTTGACACCAATATTATTTTAACTCTTTTTCATTCCTCAGCACCATTAACATTGGTGAAAAGTAAGTTCCATTGGAATATCTTCTTTCCATGCACTGCTACTTTGTGGAGGATGCTTCTACAATCACTAATATCTTAACCTGTTCAAATCTAGGGTTAACTATTATCTTACCAACATATCTCCATAAAATATTCCTCCATGTAATCTTCTACTTCAAGTTATTAAAGAAAAAGTCTCATCCATCATCATGAATTTCAGCACAGTATTAGATTGGAAGCAATGTCTCATCATTTTACAATTGAAATAGCTAGATGTAATCATAAGTTCTATGCTAACAGTTTCTTCTCTCATACTTCTTGCTTGTGGAACTTTTTTCTGGTTTCTTCTTCTCTGTCAACATTGATCTTCAAAAATTTAACTGCAATCTCAGTCATTATCTTCTATTTTATCAATTTTTATTCGTTTATTGTCTTCTCTCCTTAATAGTAGTTTTTCCCATATTCTTTAATACTCAGTAAACCCTTGCATCCTAGTGGCTTTGTTGCCTTAGTTGGTGTGAAATTATTAAAAACCCAAAAAACAATCAATTAAATGATTTCAATTGTCTATAATAATAAAATGACATGTCTTTTTTTTTTCTAGAAATTTGACACTGTTTCTAAAAAAAGACTTAGGTAACAAAATACAGATTTGGCTTATATGAATTTTTTGATTATGTTCATTCAAAATTTTTTTAGTCATTTAAACTAGGTGATAATCCAAGAAAGATGTAAGGGTTGCAGGGAGTGAAAGAGAAAAGACTTTAGTGAGAAAGGACAATAAAAGAACAGGTTTCAGGAAGATGGAAGATTGAGATTAATGCTGCATTTAAATTCTTGAAGATTGTAGGTGGCAGTGAAGCAAGTAATCAGAGTCCTACAGGGGAGAAATACAAGAAAAAATTATTGGAATAGAACTTACGGTAACATTTAGCTATTTTGATAGTAAAATAATGAGACCTAATTGCCAATCTAGTACTATGCTTAAATTCATGTGGTTGTTTTACTAAGTGCTTTGAAAATATTTATGGAAAAGACAGACGGAAGCCATATCATGGCAGTGGGAAAGTGACTGAATTTGAGAGGTCAGGTCAGGACCAATACCCCTATACACCCTACTTTGGATTTTGTCAAGAATCTCAAGATATATAGTAGAACCACCAGACCAGATATGGCAGCAATATTCAATGCACAGACAAATGGTAGATTTATAAATGTGCAAGATGGATTCTGATAAGAAAAAATCACCTGACATGACACAGTGAGCCAACTTTTCTAGCAACAGATCTATCAATTGATTCAATATAATTGCTTCACTTCACATCAGTAGAAAATGTGAGATCAAGATGACCCAATCAATTGGTCACCTGGTGGTTAATATCAGCCATACTGATGAAAGGGAAAAATGGTTCTTCATGAGGGTTAAAAGATAGAAGTTTTGTTTTGAAGGCATCAAGCCATTTCTTGTCCCAACAAACAACTGATTGGAGGTCATTTTTGAAAGCAGTTGCCAGTTTTACATTGTTGAGCCTATTGGACTTACTTAATATTAAGTAAGGCAGGAGTAAATAGTTCTGTTATCAGCATAATTACCGAATTGGGAACGATGTCATCAAGAAGGGTGTTGATGAAAATAAGAAACAATATAAGACTAAGAATAGACCCCTGGTTGACCCCCACATTAATGTGAAATGATCTAGAAGCCTGGTTGTTCAAGATGACCTTCATTACAGGATTTGTTAAGAATGATTGGATTAAGCCAAATATTTGGCTAGACACACCATAGCCCTTGAGTTTGTGGGGAAGGCCAGCTTCAAGATATTACCTTGTTGTTCTTATCTAAAGCCTGTTAGACAAATGTAGTAATAATTTTTGCTTATCTAGAAGAAGACTGTTTGAAGCAAGATGCTTAACCAATCCAAAGTTGATTAGAGCCTTTAGCACTTTGCCAAAAGGAGGTAAAATTCTAATAGGATGATAAATCAAGCAATCAGAAGAGTTCACAAGTGTTCTTAAAGACAGGAACTACAGAGGAGAATTTCCATCAAGCTGGAAAGCTGTTGTGGATTCCGGGATGAAATCCAGTCTCAAATGAATGACAAATGCAGGAATGAAATATAGCAAATAAATGTATTGACATAATAATACAATTGGTAATATGGTTAGTAGATCCAGAAATGCGGTTAGTAGCAATAATAATATATATACAGTCTGGGAAATTCAGTATCGAAGTATGACTTCCTTCTGAGTCTACATGCTCGCAACTGTGACTCCTACTAAGTGGTTACCTCACACTTTCACTCTATTACTCTCTGACTTTCAGGTATTCACCAGCAGCAGTACAAGTACACACTAAGCAAGTCCACTTGTATCAAAAAGGGGTGGACCCCTTTAACAAAAGCAATTAAAATAATTGAATAACTGAAGCTCCTTCTGAGTTAATGTTTTACTCTGTAGGGGAAAAAAAAAAAATTATAGCTAAATTGGAAACTGTAAAATTTCTTATTGAGTATGAAAAAGCAAAACTGTCAAAAATAACTGATTGTAGAGTGAATGTCCATGGTTAAATGTAAATAAATGGCAGAAATACCAAACAAACAAATATGGTATTTAAAGAAAATTATTTCTTATTGGGTAGATGTTATAGACTTTTTGTGACATTTATGCATGTTTAACAATTATTGATTATTTAGGTTGCTGATTGGTTGGTTGGTTAATTTTGACATATCAACAATAATTTATGAAATATTGAATTTTGTATGGGTCATCTGTTGAGGTTTCGACTGGCTACTCAGTTGTAATGGTCAGCATAACTAACCTTGTTAACCAACACCTTATATAGTTTGTTTAACAATATTTGCATAAATAAAATTGCACAAATGTATATTTAAGTTTGCTTTTGAGAGATACTCTAAAGAAGTTTTTTGGGATTCATCTACCCAGGTTTTAGTTGTTATCTGAGTGTTGGGATTCCAAACATTTAACAACAGCCACAACAACGCATTTTTTAAATGAAACATGAAAAACATTATTTTCTGAAGGAAAGGTAGAACATCATCAGTCGAAATAACATGTATATATTCTTTTCAGAAATATACAATAGCAATAAATTGTTCAATTTTCCTTGCAGTGAAGATTGTTTTATAAAGTAATTAAGTGTTCTTAGTGCGGTATGAAATGTGTTAACAGGGTTACTTTATGATGATCAGCATAATGTGTTTGTGAGTTTATAGACAAAGGATTAGTCTGTAGTTGATGGTTAATCCCTTCTAAGACAAGACCTTAGTTGGCAGCTGCTAGATGTCATATCTTTGATTGTGTGTATGTGTGTGCATGTGTACTTGCTGATCAAACAAGCCTCCAAAATTGTTTTAAACCCTGAGAAGAAGTATTCATCTATTTTTATATCCATAAGAGGATTAAAAATATAATTTCACATAGAAGTTTGAACTTTTGAAATACAAGGTTTTCATTGGTTAGAAAATAATTTCACATAGCCTTGTGAAAATATTTTCTCAAATTGGCAGAAGTGGTGAAGGAAATTATTATTGTTATTTTCTAAACAGTTCAAAAATAACATGTCTGCAACTATGTTCACAAGTATTTTAGCAGTATTTGCTCTTGTAATTATTGTTTATCAAACAAAAATTCTGATGGGATTTTATTGGTTGCATATATAGTATTTAATTCCATTAAGTTTGTGCTTAAATATTGTGAAAGTATTGTAAAATTTGTAAATCTAAATTAAGGAGGTTTTATGAAAACAGTCATTTTTGCAATGACAATGAAGAAACTGCAAATTCATATTTCTCTGTTTCTATTTTCAGAACATGCTCTGTTTGAATTCTGTAATGATACAAATGAATGTCTTGGTGATAATGTGGAATGCAATGAAAATAATTGTACTTGCAGTGATCGATATTATCCTGAAGGTGATATATGCAATGAAAGTAAGTGAATTGTTAAATTCATTTTTTGTTTTTTGTACAGATTACATTTTTATTAAATTTCACAATGAACATTTGTTGAAGGTGTTATTTATTATGGCTTTTAATTTAGTACCATTTCCATTTTGCTGCTAATAATAAATAAACATGCTTGATAGTCAAGTAAACAAACAAACTGAATATAGACAATCTAGCAGTCTTTCTGTACCCACCAAAAATGGTGTGTTAAAACGATGGTTTTTCCCTTGACATTAACTGCTAAGTCAGATGCTACCAGGGTTGGGAGTAATAGTCACTAGCAAATTTTCTAATTATAAATGACTACTTTGTTGTATATTACTGATACTGTTATAGACCAATGGAAATTTTTATACTTATAATTCTAGATAAGTTCCTCCAGTTCATCCAGGTGTTATGCCTGGCTAAATTATAAAAAACACTTTGTCCTTAGCTGATTGCTTCCAAGCAATTAAATATTTGACTTTAAAGGCAAAGGGCAAATTTGCTTGTTTTATTTTACAGTTAACTTAGTGACTCTAACTCTGTGAAATATGGTATACAAAGAAAATTTTCTGAACAAGTTATTTGTTTCTTTGGTACATGTTATAATTTTTTTGTGAATTTTTTGTATGATTAACAATCATTGATTATTTAGTTTTCTGGTTGGTTGGTTGGTTAATTTTATTATATGTTATCTCTTAGAGGTTTATTAAATGTTGTATTTTGTATTAGTTACCCAGTGAGGTTTGGACTGGCTATTCAATTGTAATGGTGAGCATGATTAATTTCATTAACTTTTACTGAACACTGACACATTATATAGTTTAACAATATTTGCAAAGAATAATTGCTCAAAAATTAATCAAGCTTTCTTTTCAAAGATACTCTATTGAAATTTGTGTTTAAATGTAATCAAAAAATTACGTAAGTCTAAATTAAGAAGGTATTATAAAAAAAATTAGTAATTTTTGTAATAAAGCTAGGAAAACATCACTGATGGCTCACCACAGAGAATATAAAGAATGTATTTTATGAATAAAGAAACTTCAAATTCATATTTCTTTGTTTCTCTTTTCAGAACATGCTCTGTCGGATTTCTGTAATGATACAAAGCAATGTCTTGATGACAATGGGGAATGCAAGGATGATCAATGTCTGTGTAAAGATCAATATTATGAAGATGGTGATATATGCAAGAAAAGTAAGTGCATTGTTGAAAAAGGATAAAAATATTTATGCTTTTGTAAAGATTAGATTTTTATTAATTTGTACAATGAAAATTTATTCCAGATTTTATTTATTATGGCTTTTAATTTAGTACCATTTCCATTTTGCTGCTAATAATAAATAAACATGTTTAATAGACAAACAAACTAAATATAGACAATCTGGCCTCCATACCTACCAAAAAATGGTGTGTCAAAAGGATATTTGTTTTTCCTTTAGCACCAATATTATTTTAACAGCCTTCACGTCCTCGGCACTGTGAGCATTGCGGAAAAGTAAGTTCTACTGAAGTGGCTTCTTTCTACACACTGCTACTTTGTGAAAGATGCTTCCCTAATCACTAAAATCTTTATCTGTTTGGGTCTAGGGTTAGCCATTATCTTTTCTTCACATCTCCATAAAATGTGCATGTTACTCTATAACCCTCTACTTCAAGTTATGAGAGGAAAAGTATCGTCCACCGTTCATCTACGATCATTTGCCATCAAGTGTACTCTCTTCAAACAAAATCAAAAAATTATAACTAAAATTTTTGCTTTGATGCAAAATGTGTGAAATGTGTGATGTTTGGCACAATTTCCAGAAAAAAGACAAAATTATCAATTTTGAAAATTTCTCCTGTAATATTAATGGCATTTTGTATTTGTATTAATGATATTAATGGGATTTTGTATTTGTATTAATGGGATTTTGAAAATTTGTCCAATAATATTAATGGGATTTTGTATTTGTATTAATAATGTTAATGGGATTTAATATTAATATTAATTGGATTTAATATTAATAGGATTTAATATTAATAATAATAATGGGATTTTGTATTTGTATTAATGGAATTTTGAAAACTTGTCCTATAATATTAATAGGATTTTGTATTAACCATTATTTGCTATAAATTGAATAATCAGCTATTTATCTAGTCTGTTAATTTTTTCATTGGAAGTATCACAAATGTTTTTTTTTATTAAAAGTTTTGAAAAAATCAAATATTAATGTTTTTGTCATCATTTCACTGCCATGCAAGGCAGTAATGCCATTAAAATACAAGGAATTACTGAGTGTAAAAGAATCAGAAGAAAGAGAAATATTAAGGAGTGAGAACAATAAAAGAAAACTAACCAGGAAGAGACACTAAATAAAGATTAACATAGCATTCAAATTTTTGAAGATCAAAGTTGTCTGGAAAGCATGGCACCAGAAGTGTTCCACAAGTAAGAAATACAAGAATAGAAACTGTTAGTAGAGAACTTACCATTACATTTAGCCATTTCAACTGTAAGATGATGAGACCTAACTGCCAATCTAGTATTGCACTTAAATTCATAAAGTCTAGGCACCATAGAGAAGTGTTTATCTAAAGAATTACTATGAAAGTATTTATAGAAAAGCTACAAGGTAGGTACATTACGGCGGTAGGAAAATGACTGAAATCAAGATGCCAGGTTATTGCATATTTTTCTTTGGATTTTATCAAGAATCTCTAAATATATAGCAGGAGTACCAGACCAGATATGGTAGCAATATTCAATGCATGGATGAATGGTAGACATAGATATTTAAGATAAATTCTGGAGAGAAAAATTGTCTGGCATGATACAATGAACCAAGTACCTGGCAATGAATTCATCCACTTCATGTCAATTGAAAATGTTAACTTTCAAGAAGGCTCAATGAGTAACCTCCTGGAGGTTAGCATCAGCTATTCTGATGGAATACAGAAAGGGGTTTTCAGATGACACTCTCTGAGTTTGTGCACGAGACTTATTTGTAATGTCACCAGACTTACTTGTTTAACTTAGTGATTAGAATTGCTGTACTGTAATCATTTTGGTGCTTGTTTTAAGCTATGAATTGTGTGTGCGATGTGATTGACACATGGTTGAATATTAGTGACTTAGAATTTTTATTGTGGTAATTCTTCGATCACCTTCAGTCAGTTACGTGTCATGTGTGATACACGTGAAGGCGATCATGTATCTTTCGATACATGACTGACGAGGCAGATTTTTTCCTGCAGTAGATTGCCATTTCTTTCTGCAGTAGACCAGTTGCCATCCAAGGCTATAGAACCCAGTCTGTCCTGCTATTTACCCATAGCTGGGGGGAGAAGAGGATTCATCCCTTTCCCAAGGGTATTATTTGTAAGTGAATGTAATGGATTTGACTGGAATTTGAACTCGGCTCTCTAATTTCTCAATCTGAGCCACTATCCATTACTCCACTGTTCCTCCTTTTCTGCTTTGATTATATTAGTAACTTAAAAATTGATAATTGTTATGGGGACCTACCTTCATGGACAAAATAGACTTGTCTTATGACTATATTATGCCTCGCAAGAGGACTGTAGAGGAGCGAACGAGTTGACTACTCTACTTAGCCATCAGATGAACATGCAACACTTCTATATTCGTTCTTTTTGTTAATAATACGTTTTCACTGAATCGCTGAGTTTGAGTTTTCTTTAGGACCTCTTCCGGGTCCACAACAATAATAAAAAATGTTTTAAAAGAACATATCAATATTATGTTACCACAAATCATTGAGATAAAACTTTGATTCTGATATTCTTATTGGAGAACTAGAATATTTTGTTGAATTTAATTCATTTTATAATGCTATAATCCCAATTGCCAAGTTAGAGGCAATTTCTTTCTATGAATATGTTCTACATATTTTGATGCAAACAACTGCTATAGTTCTAGAACTGGTATGGTTATATAGGATGTTTCATTATGACAGATCAAGTTAGCAGTAAATAAATCAGTGTTATTGGTGAAAATTTCTTTATCTCTCTATTGGGTCATGTTATTTAAGTCATAGCAATTACGTGTGAAAAATAATATCGCCCAAATGTCTATCAAGGCATCGGCAGCACACCTCCACTCGATGGTCAAAATTTTTATGATGTCTCTGCATAGTTGCTCCTTGATCTTACCAATATGCCTTATTATCTCATCCTTCAGCTGTTGAATTGTTGCTGGCTTGTTGACATAGACCTTACTTCTGAGATGACCCCAAAGGAAGAAATCTAAAGGCATCAAGTTGCATGATCGTGGTGGCCAGCTGACTTCGCTGTTTTGAGAGATAATGCAACCTGGGAACTTTTCATTGCATTTCTGTTTTAACATCCATATTTGTAATAGGCTTAAATAACTTTAACACATTGTTTGATTGTTACTCTTTGCATGGTTGAAATTGCCAAAGACTTAAGTTGTTAAATCTGAAAGTAAAAGAAAAAAATCATTAGACGCTTAAACTTAATTCACATTTAAAATCAGTCCAAGTTATTAGAACACCCTTTAAAACCCACTTAACCTTTTGAAAGGCTTGACCTGGATTTTAAGGGACCACTTTTATCAAAAACGAGGAATAACTACCTACCGACAATTATTAATAAGTACTCTCATTTTCTGTTTGCAATTCCCTGCTCAGATATGACAGTGAGCATTGTGATTCAAGCCTTTTGCTCTTTAGATTACATGCTTACATTCACTTGGGGACAGAGCAATTCTTACGAGAACAAGGAGTGGCCATAAGTAGACAACACCTTACAACCCTCAGGTACAACAGCATAATATGGAAGTCAATACAGTTTGCTGCTGCTAACCATGGGTTCTTGATAGACTGTTAGGAAAGTCTCCTCCCTGAGTCTGTCTATGCTATTAGAACATTGCTGTGTAGAGCAACTAATGTCGCTTCACATGAAAGGTTCTTCTCATGATGAAGCTCAATAGATACTTACCTCCCACTGTGGCTTTTGCAACTCAGGACTGTGCTACTGAGATGTCATACTCCCCAGAGCAAGCACAAACCCTTTACAGATAAAGTAGAGCTAATAGAGAAAAACCCTTAATACAGTTGAGTGTGCTATCCAGATGGAAGACAAAATGCTGTCTCTCTAAGAGATCTGGCCTCAGTGGGAAAGGAATTAGTTTCTATAACTACACAAGAAGTAGTTGCAATACGCACTCCCAATACATCAAATGCTGATTCCACTAACAGTACACCCTGGTCGCCACACAAGGATTATCTGAATGGGATGGGACATTTCATCAATGCTGACTTGACACCAGCCAACTCATCTCCATGACAACTTACCACCAACCTCAATGCTGGAATCGAATTCGTAGCTTCAGACCAGTGTTGGCTGTCATAGTGTGCACATCTCTTAGATTGCTTTTGAGTTGTAGAGATTTTGAATGTTTGGTTGTTTTTCTTAGTGATTTATTCGTTACAACAGCCTATTTGGCTAATTGGTATTTAACCTTCAAGATCAGGCAAATAAACATGTTGAAACAGCAAATAGAAGACTTCACACAGAGCAAAGGATAGAGAATGCTACAATATAGAGATTCATTATGGATCAGAAAAAGAAACCAAGATGCTTTTTTGAGAAATTATTTAGAGGTCATCCACCTAAATTGAAGAAGTATATTGATTAATACTTCTTAGCCTGTTCAATCGTCTTGTCACTTCTTCTTAGCCTGTTCAACAGTCGTGTCACCTCTTCTTAGCCTGTTCAATAGTCGTGTCACCTCTTCTTAGCCTGTTCAATAGTCATGTCACCTCTTCTTAGCCTGTTCAAAAGTCTTGTCACTTCTTAGCCTGTTCAACAGTCGTGTCACTTCTTCTTAGCCTGTTCAATAATCGTGTCACTTCTTCTTAGCCTGTTCAATAGTCATGTCACCTCTTCTTAGCCTGTTCAAAAGTCTTGTCACTTCTTAGCCTGTTCAACAGTCGTGTCACTTCTTCTTAGCCTGTTCAATAATCGTGTCACTTCTTCTTAGCCTGTTCAATAGTCATGTCACCTCTTCTTAGCCTGTTCAAAAGTCTTGTCACTTCTTAGCCTGTTCAACAGTCGTGTCACTTCTTCTTAGCCTGTTCAATAATCGTGTCACTTCTTCTTAGCCTGTTCAATAGTCATGTCACCTCTTCTTAGCCTGTTCAAAAGTCTTGTCACTTAGCCTGTTCAACAGTCATGTCACCTCTTAGCCTGTTCAATAGTCATGTCACTTCTTAGCCTGTTCAACAGTCGTGTCACCATTTCTTAGCCTGTTCAATAGTCTTGCCACCTCTTCTTAGCCTGTTCAATAGTCATGTCACCTCTTCTTAGCCTGTTCAATAGTCATGTCACCTCTTCTTAGCCTGTTCAACAGTCGTGTCACCTCTTCTTAGCCTGTTCAATAGTCGTGTCACCTCTTCTTAGCCTGTTCAATAGTCTTGCCACCTCTTCTTAGCCTGTTCAATAGTCTTGCCACCTCTTCTTAGCCTGTTAAATAGTCATGTCACCTCTTCTTAGCCTGTTCAACAGTCGTGTCACCTCTTCTTAGCCTGTTCAATAGTCGTGTCACCTCTTCTTAGCCTGTTCAATAGTCATGTCACCTCTTCTTAGCCTGTTCAATAGTCTTGCCACCTCTTCTTAGCCTGTTCAATAGTCTTGCCACCTCTTCTTAGCCTGTTCAATAGTCATGTCACCTCTTCTTAGCCTGTTCAACAGTCGTGTCACCTCTTCTTAGCCTGTTCAATAGTCGTGTCACCTCTTCTTAGCCTGTTCAAAAGTCTTGTCACTTCTTAGCCTGTTCAACAGTCATGTCACTTCTTCTTAGCCTGTTCAACAATCGTGTCACTTCTTCTTAGCCTGTTCAATAGTCATGTCACCTCTTCTTAGCCTGTTCAAAAGTCTTGTCACTTCTTAGCCTGTTCAACAGTCATGTCACCTCTTAGCCTGTTCAATAGTCATGTCACCTCTTCTTAGCCTGTTCAACAGTCGTGTCACCTCTTCTTAGCCTGTTCAATAGTCATGTCACCTCTTCTTAGCCTGTTCAACAGTCGTGTCACCTCTTCTTAGCCTGTTCAACAGTCGTGTCACCTCTTCTTAGCCTGTTCAATAGTCGTGTCACCTCTTCTTAGCCAGTTCAATAGTCTTGTCACTTCTTCTTAGCCTGTTCAATAGTCATGTCACCTCTTCTTAGCCTGTTCAACAGTTGTGTCACCTCTTCTTAGCCTGTTCAATAGTCATGTCACCTCTTCTTAGCCTGTTCAACAGCCTGTTCAATAGTCATGTCCACCTCTTCTTAGCCTGTCACTTCTTCTTAGCCTGTTCAACAATCGTGTCACTTCTTCTTAGCCTGTTCAATAGTCATGTCACCTCTTCTTAGCCTGTTCAAAAGTCTTGTCACTTCTTAGCCTGTTCAACAGTCGTCACCCTTCTTGTCTTCTTGCCTGTTAGCCTGTTCAACAATCCATGTCACTTCTTCCTTAGCCTGTTCAATAGTCATGTCACCTCTTCTTAGCCTGTTCAAAGTCTTGTCACTTCTTAGCCTGTTCAACAGTCATGTCACTTCTTCTTAGCCTGTTCAATAATCGTGTCAATTCTGTCAGCCTGTTCAATAGCCATGTCACCTCTTCTTAGCCTGTTCAAAAGTCTTGTCCTTAGCCTGTTCAACAGTCGTGTCACTTCTTGTTCTTAGCCTGTTCAACAGTCGTGTCACCCTCTTCTTAGCCTGTTCAACAGTCATGTCACCTCTTCTTCATGTCACCTCTTCTTAGCCTGTTCAACAGTCGTGTCACCTCTTAGCCTGTTCAATAGTCATGTCACCTCTTCTTAGCCTGTTCAATCAGTCACCTCTTCTTAGCCTGTTCAACCTCTTCTTCTTAGCCTGTTCAATAGTCATGTTCAATAGTCTTGTCACTTCTTCTTAGCCTGTTCAATAGTCTTGTCACCTCTTCTTAGCCTGTTCAACAGTCACCTGTCCTGTTCAATAGTCATGTCACCTCTTAGCCTGTTCAACAATCTTCTTAGCCTGTTCAATAGTCTTGTCACCTCTTCTTAGCCTGTTCAATAGTCTTGCCACCTCTTAGCCTGTTCAATGGTCATGTCACCTCTTCTTAGCCTGTTCAAAAGTTGTGTCACCTCTTCTTAGCCTGTTCATCCTCTTTCTTAGCCTGTTCAGTCATGTCACCTCTTAGCCTGTTCAACAGTCATGTCACCTCTTCTTAGCCTGTTCAACGTCATGTCACCTCTTCTTAGCCTGTTCAATAGTCGTGTCACCTCTTCTTAGCCTGTTCAATAGTCATGTCACCTCTTCTTAGCCTGTTCAACAGTCGTGTCACCTCTTCTTAGCCTGTTCAATAGTCACCTCTTCTTATGTCACCTCTTCTTAGCCAGCCTGTTCTTAGCCTGTTCAATAGTCGTGTCACCTCTTCTTAGCCAGTTCAATAGTTTGTGTTCAACCTCTTCTTAGCCTTAGCCTGTTTCAATAGTCATGTCACCTCTTCTTAGCCTGTTCAATGGTCATGTCACCTCTTCTTAGCCTGTTCAACAGTCATGTCACCTCTTCTTAGCCTGTTCAACAGTCCGTGTCACCTTCTTCTGTTCAATAGCCTGTTCAATAGTCAATGTCATGTCACCTTCTTAGCCTGTTCAATAGTCATGTCACCTCTTCTTAGCCTGTTCAACAGTCGTGTCACCTCTTCTTAGCCTGTTCAATAGTCTTGTCACCTCTTCTTAGCCTGTTCACCTCTTCTTAGCCAGTTCAATAGTCTTGTCCTTCTTCTTAGCCTGTTCAACAGTTGTGTCACCTCTTCTTAGCCTGTTCAATAGTCATGTCACCTCTTCTTAGCCTGTTCAATAGTCATGTCACCTCTTCTTAGCCTGTTCAACAGTCGTGTCACCTCTTCTTAGCCTGTTCAATAGCCTGTTCAATAGTCATGTCACCCCTCTTCTTAGCCTGTTCAACAGTCGATCACCTCTTCTTAGCCTGTTCAACAGTCATGTCACCTCTTCTTAGCCTGTTCAATGGTGTTCAAAGTGTCACCTCTTCTTAGCCTGTTCAACAGTCGTGTCACTTCTTCTTAGCCTGTTCAATAGTCATTGTCACCTCTTCTTAGCCTGTTCAACATGTCACCTCTTCTTAGCCTGTTCAACAGTTCTTAGCCTGTTCAATAGTTGTCAACTCTTCTTAGCCTGTTCAGTCATGTCACCTCTTCTTAGTCAACCTCTTCTTAGCCTGTTCAATAGTCGTGTCACCTCTTCTTAGCCTGTTCAATAGTCTTGTCACTCTTCTTAGCCTGTTCAATAGTCATGTCAGCCTGTTCTTCTTGTCACCTCTTCTTAGCCTGTTCAATAGTCTTGTCACCTCTTCTTAGCCTGTTCAATAGTCATGTCACCTCTTCTTAGCCTGTTCAACAGTTGTGTCACCCCTCTTCTTAGCCTGTTCAATGGTCACCCTCTTCTTAGCCTGTTCAATAGTCATGTCACCTCTTCTTAGCCTGTTCAATAGTCATGTCACCTCTTCTTAGCCTCAACAGTTGTCACCTCTTCTTAGCCTGTTCAATAGTCATGTCACCTCTTCTTAGCCTGTTCAATAGTCATGTCTTACCTCTTCTTCAGCCTGTTCAACAGTTTAGTGTTGACCTCTTTCTTAGCCTGTTCAATAGTCATGTCACCTCTTCTTAGCCTGTTCAACAGTCATGTCAAAAGTCTCTTCTTAGCCTGTTCAACAGTCGTGTCACCTCTTCTTAGCCTGTTCAATAGTCTTGTCACCTCTTCTTAGCCTGTTCAATAGTCATGTTCAAAAGTCTCTTCTTAGCCTGTTCAACAGTTGTGTCACCTCTTCTTAGCCTGTTCAATAGTCATGTCACCTTCTTCTTAGCCTGTTCAACAGTCGTGTCACCTCTTCTTAGCCTGTTCAATAGTCGTGTCACCTCTTCTTAGCCTGTTCAATAGTCAACAGTGTCACCTCTTCTTAGCTTTCAGCCTGTTCAATAGTCATGTCACCTCTTCTTAGCCTGTTCAATAGTCGTGTCACCTCTTCTTAGCCTGTTCAATAGTCTTGTCACTTCTTCTTAGCCTGTTCAATAGTCATGTCACCTCTTCTTAGCCTGTTCAATAGTCATGTCACCTCTTCTTAGCCTGTTCAACAGTTGTGTCACCTCTTCTTAGCCTGTTCAATAGTCATGTCACCTCTTCTTAGCCTGTTCAACAGTCGTGTCACCTCTTCTTAGCCTGTTCAATAGTCATGTCAATTCTCTTTCTTAGCCTGTTCAATAGTCGTGTCACCTCTTCTTAGCCTGTTCACCTCTTCTTAGCCTGTTCAATAGTCGTGTCACCTCTTCTTAGCCAGTTCAATAGTCTTGTCACTTCTTCTTAGCCTGTTCAATAGTCATGTCACCTCTTCTTAGCCTGTTCAACAGTTGTGTCACCTCTTCTTAGCCTGTTCAATAGTCATGTCACCTCTTCTTAGCCTGTTCAACAGTTGTGTCACCTCTTCTTAGCCTGTTCAATAGTCATGTCACCTCTTCTTAGCCTGTTCAATAGTCATGTCACCTCTTCTTAGCCTGTTCAACAGTCGTATCACCTCTTCTTAGCCTGTTCAACAGTTGTGTCACCTCTTCTTAGCCTGTTCAATAGTCATGTCACCTCTTCTTAGCCTGTTCAACAGTTGTGTCACCTCTTCTTAGCCTGTTCAATAGTCATGTCACCTCTTCTTAGCCTGTTCAACAGTCGTGTCACCTCTTCTTAGCCTGTTCAAAAGTCTTGTCACTTCTTCTTAGCCTGTTCAATAGTCATGTCACCTCTTCTTAGCCTGTTCAATAGTCATGTCACCTCTTCTTAGCCTGTTCAATAGTCGTGTCACCTCTTCTTAGCCTGTTCAATAGTCTTGTCACTTCTTCTTAGCCTGTTCAATAGTCATGTCACCTCTTCTTAGCCTGTTCAATAGTCATGTCACCTCTTCTTAGCCTGTTCAAAGTCTTGTCACCTTCTTAGCCTGTTTTAACAGTCATGTCACCTCTTAGCCTGTTCAATAGTCATGTCACCTCTTCTTAGCCTGTTCAACAGTTGTGTCACCTCTTCTTAGCCTGTTCAATAGTCATGTCACCTCTTCTTAGCCTGTTCAACAGTCGTGTCACCTCTTCTTAGCCTGTTCAATAGTCGTGTCACCTCTTCTTAGCCTGTTCAATAGTCGTGTCACCTCTTCTTAGCCTGTTCAACAGTCTTCTTGTCACCTCTTTCTTAGCCTGTTCAATAGTCTTGTCACCTCTTCTTAGCCTGTTCAATAGTCATGTCACCCCTCTTCTTAGCCTGTTCAATAGTCATGTCACCTCTTCTTAGCCTGTTCAACAGTCGTGTCACCTCTTCTTAGCCTGTTCAATAGTCGTGTCACCTCTTCTTAGCCTGTTCAATAGTCTTGTCACTTCTTCTTAGCCTGTTCAATAGTCATGTCACCTCTTCTTAGCCTGTTCAACAATCGTGTCACTTCTTCTTAGCCTGTTCAATAGTCATGTCACCTCTTCTTAGCCTGTTCAAAAGTCTTGTCACTTCTTAGCCTGTTCAACAGTCGTGTCACTTCTTCTTAGCCTGTTCAATAATCGTGTCACTTCTTAGCCTGTTCAATAGTCATGTCACCTCTTCTTAGCCTGTTCAAAAGTCTTGTCACTTAGCCTGTTCAACAGTCGTGTCACCTCTTCTTAGCCTGTTCAACAGTCGTGTCACCTCTTCTTAGCCTGTTCAACAGTCATGTCACCTCTTCTTAGCCTGTTCAACAGTCATGTCACCTCTTAGCCTGTTCAATAGTCATGTCACCTCTTCTTAGCCTGTTCAATAGTCGTGTCACCTCTTCTTAGCCTGTTCAATAGTCATGTCACCTCTTCTTAGCCTGTTCAACAGTCGTGTCACCTCTTCTTAGCCTGTTCAATAGTCATGTCACCTCTTCTTAGCCTGTTCAACAGTCGTGTCACCTCTTCTTAGCCTGTTCAACAGTCGTGTCACCTCTTCTTAGCCTGTTCAACAGTCGTGCCACATCTTCTTAGCCTGTTCAAAAGTCTTGTCACTTCTTCTTAGCCTGTTCAAAAGTCATGTCACTTCTTCTTAGCCTGTTCAACAGTCGTGTCACCTCTTCTTAGCCTGTTCAATAGTCATGTCCCTTCTTCTTAGCCTGTTCAATAGTCTTGCCACCTCTTCTTAGCCTGTTCATTAGTCATGTCACCTCTTCTTAGCCTGTTCAAAAGTCTTGTCACTTCTTCTTAGCCTGTTCAACAGTCATGTCACCTCTTCTTAGCCTGTTCAACAGTCATGTCACCTCTTTTTTGCCTGTTGAATAGTTATGTCACCTCTTTTTAGCCTATTTAACAGTTATGTCACCTCTTCTTAGCTTGTTCAATAATCATATCACCTCCTTCTTGTCAGTTGAAAAGACATGTTACCTCTTTTCAACCTGTTCAGTAGCCATGTGACCATGTTTTAGTCATGTCACCTCTTTTTACCTTGTTTAGTATTCATATCATCTCTTTTTAGCCTATTCAATAGTCATGTCCCCGATTTTTTAGCCAGTTCAATGGTGATGTCACCGCCTTTTATCCTGTTCAGCATAGGGTCAGATTTGAATTGCATTCTTCTTCATTGGTAGAAAACAAGCAAATATCTTCTGCTAAACTGATATTTTCTATGTCCTTTTCCTGAACTTTCTCTATTACTTGTTGAAAATGATACTTGATATTTTTTATAATGTAGGCCATACAAGTCTATTGCAGTAAGCCAATACGAGTGTTCATTGTCATTATTACTTTGAAGTTTTCAGCTGTTTAAATTTGATGATAAGCAGTCTTTAGGTTGATTTTTGCACATTTATTCCACTTAAAAAATGCAATGTCACTTCTTAGTCATAAATAAAATAAGAGTTTGAATGAAACTTATGATTCACTCCTAATTTGTAATTTCCACATATTTTCTCTCTGCTTTTCTAAAATGTTAACTGGTGGTGACCATTTACTACCAGTAGTAGGTTGGAAAAGGACATTTAAGTAATATGTTTTTGTTTTCGGTCCTTAAAGAGAAGAACTGACTAAAACAGATATACCTTCTGGACAATATGGATCAAATAACCAGACTGTACAATATGGTGGCCTACTTTCAATAGCACAAAAAAAAAGAATTATTTATTTTAAACTTTTATAAAATTATATTCTATTTTGTAGCTTATTCTACTGAACAAGAATTTTTAAAATGTTTTTCCTTTCTGGATCCACCATAGCATTATATAAAATATATCTGTATTCAGTTGTAACTTTTACTGATTTTGCAGCAGATGTATTATCAATTGTTATTTTCTCTCTGTATAATTCTTGTTCTTTTATTATTCTCTTTTGTTAATAGTATCTTTTTCTCATATTCTCTAACACTCAGTAACTCCTTACATTTTAGTGGATTTATTGTCCAGCTTAGGCTGAAAAGATTTTAAAAAAACAAAAAGATAAGCTAATTGAAGCACTGGAACATGATTGGATTGCAAGATGGGAAATGTTAACCTGTCAAGAGATGAAGTAATGTGTAGAGATATACTAGCTGCTAAGTCAGATGCTACCAGGTTTGGGAGTAATAGTCACTAGAAAATTTTCAAATTATAAATGACTACTTTGTTGTATATTACTGACACTGTTTATGGACCAATGGAAATTTGTATACTTATAATTCTTGATAAGTTTCTCCAGTTTCTCCAGGTGTAATGCCTGGCTAAATTATAAAAACACTTTGTCCTTAGCTGATTAATTCCAAGCAATTAAATATTTGACTTTAAAGGCAAAGGGCAAATTTTACAATTTTATTTTACAGTTAACTTAGTGACTCTAACTCTTTGAAATATGGTATACAAAGAAAATTTTCTGAACAAGTTATTTGTTTCTTTGGTACATGTTATAATTTTTTGTGAATTTTTTGTATGATTAACAATCATTGATTATTTAGTTTGGTTGGTCGGTTAATTCTATGATATGTTATCTCTTAGAGGTTTATTTAATGTTGTATTTTGTATGAGTTACCCAGTGTAGTTTGGACTGGCTATTCAATTGTAATAGTGAGCATGATTAATTTCATTAACTTTTACTGAACAAACTTGATGTGAGAATCAAAAGCCATTAGTTTTATGGCCCAATGTAATATTCTTGATGTTATAAATGTGGATATGGTAGCACAAAAGAAAAAGGAAATGATAATTTTTATAGAAGATATTAGGCAAAGGTTTTAATTTTTTGACACAGCTTAACAAATTGGTTGATTGATGTGATTACCTGGACAAATATTTTCTATAAAAATTGATTAATTAATACTAAAATGTATTTAAATTCTTTTTATTATCTCCTGTATTAAACATTGGTTTGGTCAATCACCTTTCTTTGAAATGGAATATCCCAGAAATAGCATACATTTACTTATCATTCTAAATAACAGATTATCCAGTTCATTCAGGTGATATGTTCAACTAAATTATGAAAACGCTTTGCCTTAGCTGATTGCCTCCAAGCAATTAGATATTTTGCCTTGAAGCCAAAGGGCAAATTTGCTTGTTTTATTTTACATTTAACTTAGTGCCTATAACTCTGTGAAATATGGTATACAAAGAAAATTTTCTGAACAAGTTATTTGTTTCTTTGGTACATGTTATAATCTTTTTGTGAATTTTTTCTATGATTAATAAGTATTGATTATTTAGTTTTCTGGTTGATTGGTTGATTTTATGATATGTTATCTCTTAGAGATTTATTTAATGTTGTATTTTGTATGGGTCACCCAGTGAGGTTTGGACTGGCTATTCATTTGTAATGACCAGCATAACTAATGTCATTAACCATTACCCAACACCACATATAGTTTAACAAGATTTGCACAAATGTATATTTATGCTTTCTTTTGAAAGGTGCTCTAAAGAACTTTGTGTTTAAATATTATCAAAAAATTATCTAAGTAAAATTTATACATTCAAATTAAAGAGTTATTATGAAAAAATTAGTAATTTTTGTAATGAAGCTGGGTAAACATCATTGATGACTCATCTCAGAGAATTTAAAGAATGTATTTTATGAATAAAGAAACTTCAAATTAATATTTTTTTGTTTCTCTTTTCAGAACGTGCTCTAGATGAATCCTGTAATAATACGTTCCAATGTCTTGATGATAATGCGGAATGTAGTAAAGATCACTGTAGGTGTAAAAGGGATACAAACTTTTTTCTTTGTAAATTATATCTCATCTATAAAAGGTGTTTGTGTGTGTGTGTGTGTGTGTGTAAAAATGCAAGTTTTTTGATGGTTTTCCAAAAAATTTACACATGCCCGTTTGTGGAAGGCAAACAATTTTTTCATTTTCCAACTCCTAATAGTGGGAAAAAATCAATTTTTTTTGCTTCATGGCAGTTTTTTTGGTTTTCCCAATTTTTACTGGCCGGGAAACCGTCGCCCCGAAAGGAGGAGATTCTATTGGCCAGGGAGAGCCAAAGCTGACGCGAAGAATTAATTTAGATTTTAAAAAAACGATAGTGCATTCGTCCAATGGAAAAATTTAATCTGCGGAACTTTACCCAATTTCGCTTTTAATTTTTGCCCTTTTTTTTTTTTTTTTTCCCTTTTTTTTTAAATCCCAACGTTTTTTTCTTTTTTTTCCAAGACTTTTTTGGGGTTTTTTTAAAAAAATAAAATTTTTTTTAAAACATTT